GCCGCGTCCCAAAGCCAGCGCAGCAGCAGCGACAGCGCCAGGGTGGCCAGGGTGCCCAGGGCCACCGCGCCCAGGGGGCCCAGAGCCGCGGCCACCGCCATGGCAGCGCCGCGGGGACACGCAGGGCAAGGGTCGGGCCGTGGGCGGTGTCACCCGTGGGGTCACATGTCCCCTCCGGGGGTGGCACCGGGCGCGTCCCGGTGGCAGCGTCGCCTGCCGTGGGTCCTGGTGGCAGCGTCCCCACGACAATGGTGGCGGCGTCACCCCGTGTGTGGTGGCATCGTCCCCTGATGAGTGTCCTGGTGGCAGTGTCCCCCCATGTGTGGTGGCATCGTCCCCTGACGGGTGTCCTGGTGGCATCGTCCCCTGACGAGTGTCCCCTGCTGTGTGTGTCCTGGTGGCAGTGTCCCCCCGTGTGTGGTGGCATCGTCCCCTGATGAGTGTCCTGGTGGCTTCATGCCCTGACGTGTGTCCTGGGGGCAGTGTCCCCTCATGTGTCCTGGTGGCAGCATCGCCTGCTGTGGGTCCTGGTGGCAGCGTCCCTCCCCGCTAGAATTGTGGCGGCGTCCCCCCAGGCAGGGTGGCATTGTCCCCTTAACGGTGTGCTGTTCCCATCCCCCGAGGGTCACTGTCCCATCCCCCCCCTCCCCGTGTGTCCCTGTCCCATCCCCCGTGTGTCGCAGTCTTCCACCCGCCCCTTTTGTCCCTGTCCCCTCCCCGTGTGTCCCCGTCCCCCCGCCCCCAGAGGGGACAAAGTCCCCGAGGTCCTGACACCGGGGCCGTGTCCCGCAGGATATTCCCGAGTCGTGTCCCACAGGATATTCCCGAGTCCCACAGAACATTCCCGTGTCCCGCAGGATATTCCCGAGTCGTGTCCCGCAGGATACTCTCGTGTCCCGCAGGATGTTCCCGTGGCTGCTCCTGGTGCTGAGCGTCTGCGCCCGCCCCGGTACAGGTAGGAACATGCCACAACATGCCACGACATGCCACGACATGCCACAACATGCTTACAGCACCCACAGCACCCCACAGCACCCCACAGCACCCCACAACATGCCACAGCACCCTATGACACCCCACAACACTCCACAACACACCACAACATGCCACAGCACCCACAGCACCCCATGACACCCCACAACACCCCACAGCCCCCACCCCATGACACCCCACAACACGCCACACGATGCCACAGCACCACATGCCACCCCACAACATGACAAAGCAACCCAGAGGACCCATAGCACCCCATGACACCCCACAACACAACACCCCACAGCACCCCGTGTCCCCCCTATTAGAGGCCCTTCCCCCTTGGTTGTAGGTCTTTCCCCCCTGGTTTTTGGGTCCTTTCCCGCTTCTTTGGGTCCTTTTCCCCTTTTTCTGTCCATTCTCCATGGGTGTGGTTTTTTCCCCCTGATTTTGGGGTCCTTTCCCCCGGTTTTGGCTCCTTTCCCCCTATTTTTGCCCCCCCCTGCCCTCCCCGGGCTGTCCCCGCAGGTCTCCCCGCTCGCCACATGGACTCGCTGGTTCAGATCCTGGACGCGCTGGAATCCCCGGCCCGGGGGGGCTCCCCGGGCTCTGTCCCGGCTCTGGCGCGGGCCCTGGGGGTCTGCAGCACCCCGGGGTGCCGCGCCGTGCTGGGAGAGCCCCCCGAGCCCCCCCCGGCCCCCGCGGCGCTGCCCCCCGAGCAGTGGCAGCTCCTCCGGGAGCTCCTCCGGCCCGAGCCCGCGGCCCCCGAGCGCGGGGCCCTGCTGGCCCCCGACGGCTCCACGGTGGCCCTCGGGCCCCTCCTGGCCGGCATCGAGGCGGGGCTCAGGCTCGGGGGGGGCTCGGAGGGCCCTTGGGACCCCCTGCCCGCCCTCCGGCCGCCCCTCGACCCGCTCTTGGCCGTCACGGTGGGCGAGGTTTTGGGGACCTCCTTCCTCCTGGCGCGGGGCGGCCACGGAGCCGCGCTGGGACCCGGCGGCTGCTGGGACGACGTGGACGATCCCCAAAACTACACCCTGACGGGCCCCCCGACCCCCGTGCCCGACGCCGTGGCCAACGGGGCAATGGACGGGGTGGTCCTGGGTGCCCGCCTGGCCCGGGAGCCCGCCCCGCTCGCCGAGCTCCTGCGGGGCTACTACGGGACGGGCAACGGCTCGGAGAGGGGGAGACCCCCCAGCAGCTACAGACGGCGGGATTTCGGGGCGCTGGCGGGGCCGGGGAAGCTGGAGGAGGAGCTGGTGGCCGTGCTGGAGCTGCTGAGGGTCCTGCCCCCCACGCGGGGGCTGCTGGAGGGCGTGGGGCCCGGCGAGGTGGCGGCCGTGGCCCGGAGAGCGGCGGGGGAGTTCACCCGGCGCTACGTGGGTACGGGGGGAGGGCACCGGGTGGGGCCGGGAGAGCTTCGGGCCCCCCCGAAATTGGGGGGGAGTGGGAGGGGGAGGTGCACCCCGGGCGGGGTTGGGGTCCTCTGGGGTCCTCTGGGGTGGGGGGCACTGAGGGGAGGCAAGAGCGGAGAGCTGAGGGGTGGCAGGTGGCCTGGGGGGGTGGGAGAGCACCATGGACCCTGGGTGGGCACCACTTGGTCCCTTGGGTGGGCACCACCCTGTCCCCTGGGTGGACAGCACCATGTTCCCTGTGTGACCACCACCTTGTCCCCTGGGTGGGCACCACTGTGTCCCCTGGGTGGTGGTCCCTGGATGGACACACAGAGGTCCCCTGGATGGACATCATTTTGTCCTCAGATGGACACCACTCTGTCCCTGGATGGCCACCACCGAGTCCTCTGGGTAGCCACCGCTGTGTCCTCTGTGTGGTGGCCCCTGGGTGGACACCAACGTGTCCCCTGGGCAGCCACTACCAGCTGTCCCCTGTGTGGACACCACTTTGTCCCCGGATGGACACCCCGAGGTCCCCTGAATGGGCACCACTGTGTCCCTGGCGGACACCACCATGTCCCCTGGATGGACACCCCGAGTCCCCTGAATGGGCACCACTGTGTCCCTGGATGGCCACCACCATGTCCCCTGGATGGACACCCCGAGTCCCCTGAATGGACACCACTGTGTCCCCTGGATGGCCACCACCATGTCCCCTGGATGGCCACCCCCACGTCCCACCCAAGGGACCCCCAGAGCAGACACTTCCCCCCAGACACTTCCCCCCCTGCCCCCAGGAGGGCACATCCGTGTCCGTGCCAGGGGGTTCCTCAGCTGGGCAGGTGCCCTGTGCCCCCTGTCCCCCAGACCCCCCCACTGTGTCCCCAAGGGGTTCCTCAGCTGGGCAGGTGCCCCCCTGTCCCCCAGACCCCCCCACTGTGTCCCCAAGGGGTTCCTCAGCTGGGCAGACACCCCATGCCCCCCCTGTCCCCAAGACCCCCCTGCCGTGTCCCCAAGGGGTCCCTCAGCTGGGCAGGTGCCCCCCTGTCCCCAAGACCCCCCCACTGTGTCCCCAAGGGGTTCCTCAGCCAAGCAGACACCCCGTGCCTGCCCTGTCCCCAAGATCCCCCCACTGTGTCCCCAAGGGGTTCCTCAGCTGGGCAGGTGCCCTGTGCCCCCCTGTCCCCCAGACCCCCCCGCCGTGTCCCCGAGGGCCCGGCTGAGCGTCCCTGTGCCCCCCAGAGTGCCCGGCCATCGTGCCCCGCTGCATGTGGGGGGCCCGCCCGTACCGGGGCACCCCCAGCCCGCTGACCCTCCCGCTGGGCTCCGTGTTCATCCACCACACCCTGGAGCCGGGCACCCCGTGCCGCTCGTTCCGCGCCTGCGCCCGCGCCATGCGCAGCATGCAGAGCTTCCACCAGGACACCCGCGTCTGGGACGACATCGGGTACAGGTGCCTGACACCCCCCGGGACCCCCCCCGGGACCTGGAACCCTCCTGGGGACCTGGAACCCTCTGTTGGACCTGGAACACCCCACAGTCCCCATGACTGTCCCCCCTTAGTCCCAGCACTGTCCCCCTTTGGTCCCATCACTGTCCCCCAGTTGTCCCCACCACTATCCCCACCACTGTCCCCCCTCAATCCCCAGCACTGTCCCCCCATTGTCCCCATCACTGTCCCCCCTCAATCCTCCCCACTGTCCCCCCCAGTCCCCATCCCTGTCCCCCATTGTCCCCACCACTGTCCCCCCCAGTCCCCCCCACTGTCCCCCCTCAGTCCCCAGCACTGTCCCCCCCAGTCCCCCCCACTGTCCCCCCTCAGTCCCCAGCACTGTCCCCCCCAGTCCCCCCCACTGTCCCCTCCAATCCCCATCACTGTCCGCCCCCAGTCCCCACACTGCCTCGCACCAGTCCCGACACCAATGTCCCCATTGTCCCCCACCACGGTCCCCCCAAGTCCCACCCCACTGTCCCCCCCAGTCCCACAAAACCACTGCCCCACATTAGTTGGTCCCCCCACTGGCCCCCCCCCCCCCCCCCAGTCCCCCCCCACTGTCCCCCCCCCCAGTCCCCAGCAACTGTCCCCCCTCAAATCCTCCCCACTGTACCCCCCCCAGTCCGCGCCCACTGTCCCCACACGAATTCACCACACTGTCCCCCCCAGTCCGAACCCCCACGGGTCCCCCCCCAGTCCCCAGCACTGTCCCCCCTCAATCCTCCCCACTGTCCCCCCCCTCAGTCCCCAGCATGTTCCCCCCCAGTCCCCAAACCTGTCCCCCCTCGAATCCTCCCACTGTCCGCCCCCCATCACCACACTGTCCCCCCTCAAGCGCCCCACGTCACCGCCCCAGTCCCCCCCACTGTCCCCCCCAGTCCCCCTCACTGTCCCCCGTGGTGTCCCCGCAGCTTCGTGGTGGGCTCGGACGGGTACCTGTACGAGGGCCGGGGTTGGCACTGGGTGGGCGCCCACACCAAGGGCTACAACACCCGAGGGTTCGGGGTGGGCTACGTCGGGGACTTCTCGGCCGCCCTGCCCGACTCCGACGCGCTGGCCCTGGTGCGGGACGAGCTCCTGCCCTGCGCCGTCCGCGCCGGCCGCATCCTCGGCAACTACACCCTGCACGGGCACCGCCAGCTCGGCCGCACCGACTGCCCCGGCAACGCCCTCTTCCAGGAGATCCAGGGCTGGCCCGGCTTCCAGGTGACACCGGGGCTGTCCCCACGGCCGGGGGGCACCCCACGTGTGGGGGCTGGCCTGGCCGGAGGATGGGGGGTGGCGGGAGGGTCGTTGGGGTGATGCTGGGACTGACGATGGTTCCTCTCCCCTCCCCAGTGAGGAGCGGCCCGAGGGTCCTGGGCTGGATGGGGAGGTTGGATCGCGGGCTGGATGGATGCTGGGCCGGTGGGGGAGGGGCTGGATGGACCCTGGTCCAGTGGATGTCGGTCCCGTGGATGCCAAATGGACCCTGCTCCAGTGGATGTCGGTCCTGTGGATGCCGGATAGACGCTGGTCCAGATGGACACCCGTCCCATGGATCCCAGATGGATCCTGATCCAGATGGACATGTGCCATGAATGCCAACCTGGATGGACACTGGTCCAGATGGACACCAGTCCCATGGATCCCAGATGGACCCTTATCCAGGGAGACACCAGTCCAACAGGTCCCAGATGGATGGACCCTTATCCAGATGGACACCAATCCCACAGATCCCTGATGGATGGACCCTGATCCAGGGGGACACCAATCCCACGGATCCCAGATGGATGGACCCTTATCCAGATGGACACCAATCCCACGGATCCCTGATGGATGGACCCTTATCCAGGGGGACACCAATCCCACAGATCCCAGATGGATGGACCCTTATCCAGATGGACACCAATCCCACGGATCCCGGATGGATGGACCCTTATCCAGGGGGATACCAATCCCATGGATCCCAGATGGATGGACCCTGATCCAGATGGACACCAATCCCACGGATCCCGGATGGATGGACCCTGATCCAGATGGACACCAATCCCACGGATCCCTGATGGATGAACCCTGATCCAGATGGACTCTGACCCAGCAGTGGTCAGAAGGTGGCCCAGTTGGATCCTGGTCCGGATGGGCTCCATCCCCATGGGAGCCAACCTGGGTGGACCCTGGTGCAGATGGACACTGGTCCAGACAGACCCTCACCCCGTGGATCCCGTCATGGCCCAGCCCTGACCCAGGGGGACACCAGCCCAAGGGATCCTGGCCAGATGGACACTGGTCTGGGTGGACACTGGTCTGGGTGGACACTGGCCCAGGAGGACTCCAGCCCCACAGATGCCACCTCAGATGGACACTGGCCTGGGTGGACACTGGCCCAGGGGGACACCAGCCCCACAGATGCCATCTCAGATGGACACTGGTCCGGATGGACTCCAGCCCAGATGGACACCAGCCCCACAGATGCCATCTCAGATGGACACTGGCCTGGGTGGACACTGGCCCAGGTGACTCCAGCCCAAAGGACACCAGACAGACCCTGGCCCAGCAGATCCCCGGCCTGGACAGATCCCACCTTAGATGGTCACCGACCTGGAGGGACCCTGGCCCAGCCCCAGCAGCCCAACAGTCCATCCCTGCAGCCCCAAACCCCTCCAGATCCCCCCCAACCCCCCCAAAATAAAGTCGGTGCCAGGACAGGACTTGGGGTGGTCCCTGGAGGGCTGGGGGGACACTGAGACTCAGGGATGGGGTTGATGGGAGGGGACATCTCTGTCACCTCCAGCCTCCGTTCCCTCCAAAACCTCCCTCCGGCCGTCGGGGCGCGCTGACCCCCCTGGGCCGGCCCGTGGTGGCCCCCCCGGTCCCCGCCGTGTCCCCGGGGCCGCGTCCCCGCGCGATGCGGGGCCGGCTCACCCCGGCGGGGCAGAGGCAGAGGTGAGGAGGGTGTGACTGAAACTCCTGCCCGGTCACATGGGGAAGCCGCGACAGGAACCGGGGCCGAGCGCGGGTGTCGGAGCGGGCGGAGAAGAGCCGAGGTAGCGCGGGGGGACACGGGGGGGACGCTCGGACGGGACCCCCCCCCTCCCGGGGGATGCTCCGGCCCCGGGGGTGCGCGGGGGATGCGGGGCGAGGAGCTGGCGCGGCATCCCGCGGGGGGCCGGGGGATGCGGGAGAGGGCGGGGGGTGCCGCGGGGGGCCGAGGAGTGCCGCAAGTCGGGGTGGGGACCCCAAAAATGCCGGCGCACCCCTCCCCTGCCCGAGTTCGGACCCCCGGCGCAGCCCGGAGCGGGGATGCCGCTGCCCCGAATCCGGCGGGTGCCGAAGAAGCCGCAGGTCCCGCAGGTGCCCGCGGGTCGCTGCCACCCCGAGGGGGGTCGCGGCGAGGGGGTCGTCACCGGCCCCGTCCTCCCCCTCACCCCGAGCAGCCCCTCCGTGAGCACCCCGGGGCGCGGGGGGGGCCCCAGGACGGGGCGCGGGTTCAGGTGCGGGAGGAAACGCGGTGGCGGCGCGAAGGGAAGCGCGGCCGGGGCGCGACGGAAACATCTCGGGTGCCGCCTGCGCCCCGGGGCGAGGGGGGTGGCGGGGCAGCGGCGCCGCTGTCACCCCGACGCGCTGTCACCCCCGCCGCCCTGTCACCCCCGTCGCGCTGTCACCCCCGCCGCGCTGTCACCCCCACCGCGTTGTCACCCCCGCCGCCCTGTCACCCCCGTCGCGCTGTCACCCCCACCGCGTTGTCACCCACGCCGCGCTGTCACCCCCGCCGCCCTGTCACCCCCGCCGCCCTGTCACCCCCGCCGCGTTGTCACCCCCGCCGCGCTGTCACCCCCGCCGCGCTGTCACCGCGCCCCGCCGGCCGCGGAGGGGACGGGGGGCGGCGGGGGAGCCCGAGGGGTGGGGACCCCTGGGTGGGCAGGGGGGTGGGTACCTCTAAAAAGGGGGCTCCTGGGTGGGCAGGGGCACCCCGGGGATGTGGACACCTAAAAAATGGGACCCCCTCGGTGGGCAGGGGCACCCTGGGGATGTGGAACCCACTGGGTGGGGATCCCTTGGCAGGCAGGGGTGTGGGTACCTCTGAAAAGGGGACCCCTGGGTGGGCAGGGGTGTGAGCACCTCTAAAAAGGGGATCCCTCGTGGGCAGGGACACCCTGGGGACACGGGAACCCACAAAATGGGGACCCCTGGGTGGGCAGAGGGAGGCACGATGGGCATGGGGACACCTGTAAAAATGGGACCCCTGGGTGGGCAGGGGCACCCCGGGGATGTGGGAACCCACTGGGTGGCCAGAAAGGATGCCCTGGGTGGGGGTCCCCAAATGGGGGTGCCTGGATTAGGGTCCCCTAAATAGGAGTGCCCAGGTGGGGATGCACAAGATTGGGGGTGCCTGGATAGGGGGCCCATCCCACCACCCCTGACCCCCTCCCCACACCAGCCCATGGCCCCCCAAAGTGTCTCTCCCCATCCCACCCCTCTCACACCATCCCATGGACCCCCAAAGTGTCTCTCCCCATCCCACCACCCCCATACCATCCCATGGACCCCCCAGTTCTCTCCCCATCCCACTCCACCCACCAGCCCATGGGCCCCCCAACATGACTCTCCCCATCCCACCCCCCCACACCACCCCATGGACCCCCAAAGTGACCCTCCCAATCCCCCTCCCCCACCATCCCATGGCCCCCCAAAGTGTCTCTCCCCATCC